ACGCTCAGGAGATGGAAAACCAAAAACCAGTGGATTCAACTCAAGAGCCTTCATTTGCTGACTTGCTAGATGACACATTACGATTGTCACAACCTTCAAGACGATGCAATCGAGATGAAGATCTTCAAGAATGACATGTTCTTCCTCGAATAGATGGCTAGATACAACGCGTTTGATATCACGATTTGGGAAGGGACTCCCGATGTTTGGTGATTGTGCTAGAGGTAGGAACAACTCTTGATGGTGTTCCAAATATTCTATTCGAAGGAAGTTACGAAGGCCTCAACAATGATCAAATAACTGGATGGTCTTCCCGCCCTGGTATGGGACACTATCGATGGTTGAGAGGCCCTATCAATCATCTTCGAAGAGAACAAAGATCAGAGTATGTGGCGAATACAATTCGTCGCATCATAGATTTTCTCAACATATGATGATCGCTCCTCGTAGAACTCATCCCTAGAAGGGGGGGTAATGTCACGAACATAATCATGTAAGCTAGTAATTACATATACAAATAGGTAGAAGTAAGTAAAAGTAGGTAAAAATAAGTTAATTCTATAGTATTTAATATGGAAGCTTTCTAGAGGCTTTGTAGACGCTGCTTTGACTTCATAAGTGTCTTTAATTGACTTTTTGGATTAGAAACGTGGTCAACAAGTTGGCCATGTGCCACACATGTTATTAGCTTGAAGATCAAGCTAACTATGTGGTCCACACGTAGAAGAACTTGCCTTGTAAGTCAAGGCATGTGTCCTACAAAGTCAACACATATTGGAGGTCCTATAGAATGTTGCCACGTAGCCCCTAGTTAGATAATATATATAGAGACAAGAGTGAAGGCTTCTTCATTCTTGTCAACTCCTTTCTTGCTTTTAGTCTAGTTTCAAGGGTCTCTAGTTTTCTTGTCTTTTGGCAATAGCCATTCCAGTTTCTCTTTCAATATATATACTTGTTTATATATATTTTTTTACTTCTCTTTGAGTGAAGGCTCACTTGTTTGAATTGTTTTTTCATCGAGTTCTTGTCCTTGACACATATTTGGAATAGTAAAATGTTTTGGATTTAGTTGTGACCTTGATATAGTTGCTTCTTTCAATTGCAAAATTTCTTAGTATAGACTTTAAACTTCATTGTTGACATCTTCCATAGATATTAGAATACTACCTCTATAGTCAATATTAGAGATATGTGAGATTTCTACCCTCAAAGTAGTAATAAGTTTATGAAAATCTACAATAGTTGCAAATCTATTCTCACTTCTGTGAAGAATAACATCTATTATTTTTTCTTTTATACATGATTCATTCAAATCTTAAAGTCAAATTAGAAGAAAATAATCTAGAACCTCTAATATCAAATTAATATTTTTATAAAGAAGAATATTTTACTTTCTTTAAAAAATATTAAAAGTAAATTTTAAGATTGATAAATTTAAAAGTAGATAAATATATATATATATATATATATATATATATATATATATATATATATATATTTGTGATATATAATATCATTTTTAAAAATCATGGTTGGCCTATCTTTATTACAATTATAATTACAAAATTTGTATCAATTTAGCTTATCCTCATTTCTTCTATTCGACATTTTATTATAAAAATGAGTGTATCTAATTTCTCTTATATTTATTAGTTTAACACCAATTACACCTCAAATTTTACTCATTTCTTATCCATTTTTAGAATAACAAATGCTACCTTCTTATTACTACAAAATCACTTATCAAAGCAAATTTTTTTTAAAGCGCCTCCAAATCTCATATAAACTTCATCTCTTACAACTTTTTAAACACTTTATAGATATAGTAGAAAAAAATGATAAATCTCTCCATTGTGAATATACAAAGTTAGATGCTAAATAGACAAAATCTATAGAATAAAATAATATAACTTTATTCTATATAAAAATAGTTAAAAACTAGTTACTTTTCTCTAAAGATTCAAATCTATTACACCTCAATATATTCTTAATAAAAAAAAATGTTCTAATGAACCAAATATCTTTAAATCAAAAATTGTGGCATGTAAAAACAAATAATAACAAAACATTGACTATTTTGATATATTGTCAAGGACAAGAACTCGATGAAAAAACAATTCAGACAAGTAAGCCTTCACTCAAAGAAAAGTAACAAAATATGAATAATAAGTATGTATATTGAAAAGAAAAACTAGAATGGCTATTGCCAAAAGACAAGAAAACTAGAGACCCTTGAAACTAGATTAGAAGCAAGAAAGGAGTTGACAAGAGTGAAGAAGCCTTCACTCTTGTCTCTATATATACTATCTAACTAGGGGCTACGTGGCGACGTTCTATAGGACCTTCAATATGTGTTGACTTTGTAGGACACATGCCTTGACTTACAAGGCAAGTTTTTCTACGTGTGGGCCACATAGTTAGCTTGATCTTCAAGCTAACAACATGTGTGGCACATGGCCAACTTGTTGACCATGTTTTTAATCCAAAAAGTCAATTAAAGACACCTATGAAGTCAAAGCAGCATCTAGGAAGTTTCTAGGAAGCTTCTATATTAAATATTATAGAATTAACTTACTTTTATCTACTTTTACTTACTTCTACTTATTTTTATATGTAATTATTAGCTTACATGATTATGGCCGTGACATATATTTGCTCTCATTATACAATGAAAACCTATTGAAAAAGTTATAGCTTTCTAAGCCAAAAAAAATGGTTTATGTACCATATAAATGTGGTCATTACATACTTAAAAAATTACCTTAAAAAAGACATCTTTATGTGTCAACTACCAAGCTATGTATTCTTAAATTGTGCATACTTAATGTACAAGCTTTAATGCACAATATATAGCCTTCGACAAGGTCAATACTATCATACATCCATATTGACTTACACTTATAATAGCACAATATGATACGCACTCATGCCATTTTAAATATCTACTATTTGCAACATAGAGATTCTATAATTATTAAAGGTTTTATATATTAATGAATTATTCATCATTGGATCCAACTTAAAGATGATCTTAGACCTCAAATGTAATCTTTATAGCTACTATAAGATGAAGAAATTAGGCTTCATAAAGAAATTTCTTAAAGAACAAATTGTCTAAATAGCTTACAAAGTTTTTCTCTACCAAACATACTATTATAAAGCAATTTTTACCAAATACCTACATTGTGTCAAAGACAAGAACTCGATGAAAAAATAATTCAAACAAGTGAGCCTTCACTCAAAGAGAGGTAACAAAATATATATAAACAAGTATATATATTGAAAGAGAAATTGGAATGGCTATTGCCAAAAGACAAGAAAACTAAAGACCCTTGAAACTAGACTAGAAGCAAGAAAGGAGTTGACAAGAATGAAGAAGCCTTCACTCTTGTCTCTATATATATTATCTAACTAGGGGCTACGTGGCAACATTCTATAGGACCTCCAATATGTGTTGACTTTATAGGACACATGCCTTGACTTACAAGGCAAGTTCTTCTACGTGTGGGCCACATAGTTAGCTTGATCTTCAAGCTAATAACATGTGTGGCACATGGCCAACTTGTTGACCACATTTCTAATCCAAAAAGTCAATTAAAGACACCTATGAAGTCAAAGCAGCGTCTACGAAGCCTCTAGAAAGCTTCCATATTAAATACTATAGAATTAACTTACTTTTACCTACTTTTACTTACTTCTACCTATTTGTATATGTAATTACTAGCTTACATGATTATGTCCGTGACACATTGTCACTAATAACATATTTCTTTATTAAAATAATTTATATTTAGAAAAATATAAATTCTTATAGTTGACTCAAATTACTATCAATTATTAATTAGTAAATTATAATATTTCACTAAAATCCATTAAGACATAGGATTTCTATATTTCTTTTTTGTTGCCACGTGCACTATCTATAAGATTGTCACATAAAAACAACAAAGGAGATTATAAGCTATCTTCACAAAAATCTATTTTTAAATCTATAGTTACTAAAGAAGTAGGAATTGAAACTCAACAACTATTCTAAAGCATACTACAGTAGCAATTCTAACAATTGATCATTAATTAGTACATACATTTTTTATCTTAAAAAAATTTCTATTTCTTGGAGTTTTAAATATAAAGCTCTTTTTCTTATTCATCCTATGAATCAAAATATAAAGCACTAGCCAAAAGTACTTGTAAGACAATTTGAATCTACAATCTCATTTTAGAATTAAATTTTAGTAATAGATAATTAAGGTCATTATGATAACAACCAAAGTATTGTAAAGATTATCAAAAAATCTAATGTTTTATGACAAGTTCAAATCTTTAAAACCTATTGATATTTTAATAGATAAAAGATAGTAGATAAATATATCATCATTAATTTTATTAGAATCAATAACAAGCTATTTGACATTAAAAAAAAAAAAAAAAAAAAAAAAAAAAATACTAGCTAGAAATGGATTTAAACCTTATAGAATTGGTCTCAATTTGAGAATCCAAAAGACATCATGTCTTCAACTTAGAACTTATTTTTAATTCATGAACCTCTTAGCTTTGGCCCTTATACAGAAATTCTTTTACATAGTTCTACTAAAGCCACCTATATGTTCTCTATAAGCGTCTTCAATATTGTAAATACTTAAATATTTGTCATATCAAATAACATACAACTTTAATAAATGATTTGGAAGAGAAGAACAACAATAATCATCTTCTAACTTCTAAATTAATACTCTAAAAAGAAAACTATTACAAACAATTTAATATTCTTTACAACAACATCTTATCAATACCAACCTAACATCCAAATCTATCAACAATATGATCTCGGCACTTGCCCTAGTTAGCACAATGCTAGTGGTTGAGGAATGTAATGTCTTGATAAAAAAAAAACAAACTGTTGAATAAAAGTTTGAACTTCATTTGTCAACAATGCAACAAAACAACCTCCAATTAAAACCTTAATCAACTCTAAGTCCACCCAATATATACAAAAAATATTTATCAAGTTAAATACGAATATATTATTCTTTGAATATAGTGATAAAATAAGTGATAACAATAGAATGTACACTAAATTTTACATATCAATCTTTTTTGACTCTACTAAGATTATCAATGATAAAATTCAAAATTGCACCCAACTTTTTGTAAAAATGATAAGACAACTTGAGATGAACTTGGGACACATCAAAGAAATAAGTACCTTCATCCTTTTTTAGCTTATCATCCATTAGGGATCCATCCTCACACAAACCAGTTCCGTTATATTGTACATATTCTTTCCTCCACACTTATCAAACGTGCTCTTCAGTTCAGAGCTTATTCTCCTGGCGTTCTATATTTCCCATTGATTTTTGCCAACAAGGATAAGCATTCTGATCTGGTGTGCGAACTCGGCGGAGGTTGCCAATCTTCTCGCCTGCTGGCATTGTGAAACCAATCGCTTATCATCGTAGTGTGCGTACAGCTAAGGTGGACCGCCTTCAATGTGCACGCCACCACTTCCAAACACGAACTGCACTTATCAGGGTTATGATCTCAGTGTGGAGATAATGAGCACTGTGCAATTACTTGAAAATTTTGTAAGAATTGACATTGAAGGATCTGAAAGAAATGATCCAGTTTGCTGTTTCGAGATTTCTTGCATGCAGGTACTGATACCCTAACTGCACACCTGGACATCTTTGACAGCTAGAGAGATTATAGCACATACAATTGCGTGCTGTGCTAGCTGGATCCAGTCTCATTGTCGTTCACTCCTTCCAATAGAATCCAACGCGATATGGAAATATAATTTCGTTACCTCAGGTAATGAATCCCAGGTCACTTGCGGAGATGTGTGTGATCTTGCACTCCGGGCTATCGAAGTCGTGTACTCCAATCTCTGCTTTTCATGCACAATGTGTTTAACGAGATATTATGTTAATGAAGTACAGGGACAATGTAGGTTTAATATTACAAATATAAATAGTTTGCGTAACATCGAGTAGATGAAAATGACGTAGCCGGGATCAACCATTTCAGCAGTACCTCTTTTTCCCAAGCGCACCAGCTTCTGTTGAAACATCGCACTTGAAATTTTAAACGAAGGCTTTAGAGTCGAGTAAGAGAGAGACATGTGAAAATGGGAAGACTGGCTGCTTTCGCTTGACGGGAATGTTGCTGTACTACTCTGAATGATGAAAGCCAGACGGGGAGCAGCGACGTGTGAGAATATGTTAGTTAGAGACCAAAATTTGACCAAACCTGCCACTCAATTCTTTGAAGTTTGTGGAAGAGCCGGAAATCCTAGGAAAACGCATGTGCCTCAACAGCAGTCTTAAACTCCCTGTCAATGTATCAAGTCCTGAGTCTATCCCCAACGAACCACAACGTGTTTCCTCCGTAGCATATTTATACGTCGAGCACATTGAATGCTGGCTGGGAAACAATGAGCTTTAAGCGAGCAAACTTAATTTCCTGACCAATCAGAAGAAAATGAGAGCCACGTTTCAGAATCTGGATTACAGAAGTGTGCTGTTGATTTATGAATCGAGAAACTTCCAGGTAAACGAATGGTTCACATTCCTAACAACTGGCGAAAATGAAACTATCCTGATCACGACATATTCCGATACGCGCACATATTCCAATTGGACTTGGGTCACGCCCTCCCACTCGGACTCAGCAAATGATCATTGAAAGTATTTCTTGCGAATTTAAGGCGCCAGTGTCCATGTCGAACACTGTAGCATTGAAAAAGGAGAAAGTTTTGAAAAGGTCACGAAGGGTGGCGCTGCTCTGGCACTAAGCTGGATGCAAAACCTTTCTACTATTTATAACGTGCCGCACACACGGACGCGGTAATCGATTATTATTGCGATAGGTTGCAGTCTCCTGTTAAGTTCTAAATTCGACCAGGGATTATTCAATTTCAAATTCCATACCATTTCTCGATACCTTGACCCAACGTCAAAAGCTTTATCGAAATTCACTCGCTTTTCTTCGTTTTTCGTTGAAGTCGTGGCTAATGCCAAATTCGATTCCTGCGATTTGTACTATTCCTTGTTTTTTTTTAATAAATAGCGTTCAGAAGATTTCGTCTGAGTTTCAGCTGTGTAGGAACTGCATCGGAGTAGAATCTGTGACGAAATTCAACGCCGTGGTCGTCGAATGGCTCAATTTCAACGTTTGTAAGCTTGAACCACTCCACTAAACCTTTTGCTATGAATAGCATATATAACGCGAACGTACCCTCCTCTTGGCTCAATCTGTAGTCCTTTTCTAGTGCTACTAGCAGCACCCTTCCTTATGTGCCTCCTTTCAGTCTCCTCGATTGTTACTGCAAGGATCGAAAGTTTTGTCAAACTCTTGGGGTTTTGAGGGCTTGAATCTGCATCGAAGAGCAGCTGGATGCAGCCGACTTGACGGTTGCGTTGCGATTGCATTCTTAGTAGCGTGCTTGGATTGATAGTTTAGAAAGTGTGGAGATGGCGGGCACAATAACGATGGAGGCGGCGAGTTTGGCCTCAATGTTCACGTTCAACAATATCGTGCAAGGATTATGCGTGGCGGTGTTTTTGGGGATTGTCATCATGAAGCTGAGGGCTCCCAAGTTGAAGCTGCCCCCCGGTCCCTTTGCCCTTCCCATTGTCGGCAATTGGCTCCAGGTTCGTCTCTCTCATGTTTTGGTTGAATGTATTCTCAAGCGACTGCATTACTCGCTGAAATCGAAATCTAAGTTATTCTAACTAAGATTTCGACTCGTTTTGCTTCATTTTCCTCAGGTTGGAGACGACTTGAACCAAAGAAATTTGGCCGAGATGTCGCAGAAATATGGGGATGTTTTCTTATTAAAAATGGGTCAGCGAAATCTGGTGGTGGTCTCTTCCCCTGACATTGCAAAGGATGTTCTTCACACACAAGGGGTCGAATTTGGCTCGCGAACTCGCAACGTGGTTTTCGACATCTTCACGGGTAATGGACAGGACATGGTGTTCACTGTCTACGGGGAGCACTGGCGCCGTATGAGGCGAATCATGACAGTGCCATTCTTCACCAACAAGGTAGTCCAGCACTCACGGTACGCGTGGGAGGAGGAAACTGACTACGTCATCAAGGATTTAAAGGCTCGCCCTGAAGCTGCCACATCCGGCGTGATAATTCGAAGGAGGTTGCAGCTTATGATGTACAACATCATGTACAGGATGATGTTTAACTCCAGGTTTGAGACTGAGGATGATCCTTTGTTCGTAAAGTTGAAGGCACTTAACGGGGAGCGCAGTCGGTTGGCTCAAAGCTTCGACTATAACTACGGCGACTTCATCCCCATCTTGCGACCATTTCTGAAAGGCTACCTTAAGACGTGCCAGGACGTGAAGGACCGGCGATTGGCTCTCTTCAAGGAACATTTTGTCGATGAGCGAAAGTATGCACGTCTTGAAAACCCTAACTGATCAACACTCAGAAATTGGAGGTCACTAGGGTTGGTTGTCCTTCTTGATGAGGAATGTAGGAGGCATTGTAGATTAAATTGACAAATCCTCTCTTCTTTTGTTGATTTGCAGGAAGTTGAATAGCGTGAATCCTCCCAAGTCCGAAGCTGAGAAGTGCGCCATCGACCACATCTTAGAGGCACAAAAGAAGGGAGAGATCAACGAAGACAATGTTCTGTACATAGTGGAGAATATCAATGTCGCAGCTATTGAGACAACTCTCTGGTCTATTGAGTGGGGAATTGCGGAGCTTGTGAACAACCAGGAGATTCAAACCAGGATTCGAAATGAGCTCGACTCCATTCTTGGAAAGGGCAATTTGGTGAGCGAGCCTGACACCTACAACAACAAGCTGCCATACCTGACAGCCTTCGTAAAGGAGGTGATGCGCCTTCACATGGCCATCCCCCTTCTCGTCCCTCACATGAACATCAACCAAGCCAAGCTCGCTGGTTACGACATCCCCGCCGAGAGCAAGATCCTCGTGAACGCGTGGTGGATTGCCAACAACCCTAAATACTGGGACCAGCCAGAGAAGTTCATGCCTGAGCGGTTCTTGGATGGAAAGATCGAAGCCTCTGGAAACGACTTCCGCTTCTTGCCATTTGGCGTCGGGCGACGGGCGTGCCCCGGAATCATCATCGCCATGCCCTTGTTGGCCATTGTGCTCGGACGCCTTATTCAATCATTTGAGCTCCTCACTCCCCCTGGCGTCAAGAAGATCGACCTTACTGAGACGGGGGGTCAGTTCAGTCTTCGTATTGCTAATCACTCAACTGTGGTCGCCAGACCTCTTGCCGTCTAGGTTTGCATTTTTTGTGACAGCATAGGAATAGGTCTTAGTTCTTTGAGGTATTCTGAGGTCGAATTGATCAGAACGATCTCTTACAAAAAGAAAAATTTGTTGTAGAATATCCTGCAGCACCTACCTTCTGGAATTGCACTGGATTGAATTCTCATCTGGACTAATACTAGTATGTAGAGTACAGAAATAATCGGTCCTTCCACTCACGTGCCAAGGCACTTAGTAAAAAAAACACTTGTGCATCCCTTTGGTTAAATCATAATACTGGTCAATCATTTGCAATTCTCCTGCACATTCCATGCCAACACGGCACCTCAGTGATCAACATTGTGTAGCTGTAAATCAATGCCAGCTATCATGCTCCAAGTCGCCATACATAGCACACCGCATTCTACAGTTTCAAAAAGCTTGCAAATTTCCAACTTCAAATGCTCTGATGTCGCGCTTGTAGCATTGGAAAACTTTATCAGCAATTTGCTCCCGCCATTATTCCTGATTGTGCTTTGCATAGTGAATAATTCAACGTCCTTTTAAATAAAAACAAGCTAGAGCGGGTGGAATATCTTTAACTTCTTCGGCGAAGAAGAAAATGATGATGTAAGAGGAGCTGTTTCTACGGTGATACCGTGGACCTCCGAAATCTTAGGCAACGGCAACGTCGCTGTTGAGAAACCAACATTGATATAGGATCACAAGTCGGTTCGACCCATCGGTTATAGAAACCACGATTTCAATGAACCAGAACTCTCCGCCAGCATCGACGAAAATAAGCAGGCGAGAAGGAAAATTAACCAACATTGTAAGTATATTCCCATTTTTGCTTCGCAACGACGAGCAGTATTTTGATAGTTCTCGTTCGTTTGTCCGCTCGATTTGAAGGAAGCTCTGCTTATTTGCTTCTTTATATATTTAGTATATTATAGTATAATGAACTTGTAATGAATTTTCTAGGAGCAACTTCTCATCCAATATCTGTACAATTGTTTAATTATTTTAATTAACCAAATCATTTTATTTGTTTAATGCACCAACATTACATAATGAAAGTTATTAAAATTAATGAAACATATATGGTAAAAATAGGGCAGTACTAATCCCACTACAATTTTTATTGTTGCTACTACAACATGTCACCTACTCAACATGTTTTTTTTTAATACAATTTTTAAATTATTTATTTAAAAACTATTTATTTATACAAAAAATTAAGCTATTATTGATTATATATATATATATATATAATTTTTTTATAAATATAATAGAATTAAATCCAGAAATAATATATATTTATAAAAAATATGTATAATTATTAATCATAGTTTATTTTATAATATAACTAAATAAGACTCAAGCTACAAGCAAGTATTATAAGTTGCTATATGCATTCTTCATATTATTATATGTACATTCAAAAGAGAATAGAGACTTTGGATTAGTAGAGTGTTGTTTGGATCATATCATCTAACACAACTACAAAGAAGTTGGTAGCTCTTTTTCTAGTGATTTCACTAACTAATCAGCAAGCACATTCAAAGACCAGCACTCTTTTTAGGAATTTTCAAGGGCACAACTTTTGGAAGAAATTTTGCATTTGCATTGTCTCCATGGTTTATTTGCCAATATCTAATATTATAATACACATTAAAACCACAAATTGGAAGGACAAATGTATAGTAAAGTTGATCTATCTAGAATTGCTATCTTTAATGGCATCCAAAAATGTCTTTGTAGCTTTATTGATTTCTAATATCATCGTATGCATTGTTTTGTAAAATATTATCAATGTTGTGCTTTATTTCTATTGAGCTTTTATGGAGTTAAATTTAAGAATATTAAATACATCCACTTAATATATCTATATCATCCTTCTTTCTTAGGAAGAAATAATATAATACATCGTATCAAATTAACTATTGCTAGAATATATCAAATTGCAAGGATGTATGATCTTGTTAAGTGGAACTAAAATTTTGAGATGATAGACAAGTTGATACATACTTAGGGTACATTGTTGTATACTTCAGTTGGATTCTATTAGAGCCTTTTTTTCAAGAAACTTAACTATCAACAAGAAGTTGGATACTACTATGACAGTATACAATGTGGCTACAATAATACTCTCTTGAGAAGATGGATTAAGCACTTGCATTGATGGATTGCTACTAATATACATCATTACAATGTCCACCAATTTGAGCTTTGATTCCAAACCATTTCAATCTACAAAGATTTCTTCATGTAATTAAATTCTTCTACTTTATTTTCTCCACTAATTACAATTATTTTACTCAAAGTTGACTGTTTTCTTTTATAAAATACTTAAAATATGCATATAAAGAGTCTAAGTCTAAATTAAAGTAATTATTTAATGTCCTCTCAAAGATATCTATTTATATGATAATATTTTATATATCTAATTTTTTTTTTAATTCAATATAATTAAATTTTACTTATATATATTCTTGTACAAGATTACAATTTGATAATGCATATTAGTATTATAGCATATTACTTTATTTCTTGGCCTTTGTGAGGTTTTAAATTACTTTGATTGATATATTATATTAAAGATATGATTTGATTGATGGAAAAATTTATATATTAAATTAAAACTTAAATTCATAAGAATTTAATAGTATAAAGGTGGAATCAAACTAAATCTTGAATGCAATAGTGGGTGATATTTTTTTGTAGGTATTTTGTATAAAAAATAAGTAAAATAAAAATGCATCTCTTTTGTGCAACAAATATAAATACTTTGTTAGCTCATATGTCATATGAGTTTTATTCTTGCTAAAGTAATTTCTCTCTCTTACACATACATATACACATAAAAATTTTTCTTCAAATGATTATTTTAAGTGAAATTATGCTACATAACTAATTTCTAAGTTTTGATTCATGTCTTTTATATTTGACAATGGATAGTTATTCTTCAAGTAGTCTAAAAAGCCTCAAACTAAGCAATCAACAATATTTGGATTGCATTTAAATTTGAATTTTGTCCCAAGTATCTTCTTCTTTCTTTTCTTCTCTTCCTATTTTATTCTTGATCTCTAATTTTTTATTATAATGAATCTTCTTTCACCAAATTTATAAAAAAATATACAACTCACAAAAAAAATTGTTCAAAGTTTTTTAAATGAATACAATAAATTATTATAATGTCATTGTAACTAAGTATTTAAAAAAATATTGTTACATATTATACTATTATAAGCACAATAGTGGCTATAAAAATACTATTTCTAAACCTTTGTAAAACAACAAAGATCAACTCAAAATAACAATAGTTTCTCAAGGATATGAATCTCAAAGAAAGAAAATCCACAATATACTCTTGTGTCTGTGAAAAGAACTAGAAAGTTACTTAAAGATGATATAATATTGAACTAGAATGGCTATTGCCAAAACTAAGAAGACTAGAAAGTCTTAAAATAAGACTAAGGACTAGAAAGGTGTTGACAAGAATGAAGAAGGCTTCACTCTTGTCTTTGTATATACTCTTAACTAGGAGCTACATGGCAATGTCCTATAAATCCTTTAAAATGTGTTGACTTTACAAGATACCTATCTTAACTTGTAATGCAAGTTTTTTATATGTATGCCACATAGTTAATTTGTTCCGCAAGCTGTCAATACGTCATTAATTTTTTGACTAAGTTTCTAATCTATTAATAAACTATAAATACATATAAAGTCAAAATAACATCTATGAATCTTTTATAGAAGGTATTATAAAATTAATCTACTTTTATTTATTTTTATATACTTCTATTTAATTATATAGATATTTATCAAAATACATATGTATATCCGTGACATTATCTCCCTATATAGGAATGAATTCTAAGAAGAGCAATCATCATTTGTTGAAGAAATTCAAGATGCGATGAATTATATTTGCTGAATACTCTGATCTTTTTTCTCTTTGAAGATAGTTGATAGGTCTTTCCAGCCATCAATAGTATCCTATACGAAGACAAGAAGACTACCCTATTGTTTGATCATTGTTGAGGCTTTCATAACTTCTTTCATATAAAATATTTGAAATACCATCAAGAGTTGTTCCTACTTCTAATAAAATCACCAAACATCAAGAGTCTCTTCTAAGGTTGTGATACCAAACACATTGTATCTTACCATCTATTTAAGGAAGTACATATTGTTCTTGAAGATCTTCATCTTAATTATGTCATCTTGAAGGTTGTGACAATTGTAAAATTTCATTCAATAAGTCAGCAAATAAGAGCTCTTGAGTTAAATTTATTGCTTGTTGATTCTCCATCTTCTTAGAATCACAAATATATAGAAGCTACAAAGAAGGATAAAAAGTAGATGATTATCTTTTTCTGATCTTATTTCTTTTATAGAAAAGATTTGTTATTCTTCATCTTATTTTTGATGGATGTATTCAATAAAAGGTTCTACTCTCTTTGCTGAATTTACAAAATTCTTTATTGGTTCCCATGTATATTTATTAATATCATATCCATATCAATGAACAAAATATTCCAACCTATTTTGGTGCTGCCTTGAATTTAAGACTTCTTCCTCTTTAAATTCTTAATTATAATCTACTTTTACAAAAAGAGGTGGAATTTGGTTTCTTTCCAAGATATTCATTGTCTTATATGGCTTAAGAAGAGATATGTGAAATATGGGATGGATCTTTATAGACTTCTATAGATATAATCAATAAGCAACAAGATTGATTTGTTCACTAATACAAAAAGGTCCAAGCCTATGATAGTCCAACTTATCACATGGACAAGTAGTTTTGATATTATGACAAAATAACCATACCTTGTCACCAACGTTGAATTTTAGTTGTTCTTTGCAATAGGCATCTTCATGAATCTTTTGACATTCTTCAACTTCTCTTAACTATGTCTTCAGTGTTGCATATAGCACAAATAAATAATTTTCTAAATCTTTAGCGGCAAGATTATCATCTTTTGAAAAGTTAAAAATAACAAATTATGGATGATAATCATAATTAGCAAAGAAAAGTTTTTTTTGAGTAGAAGAATGTACCAAATTATTATACGTAAATTTTATCAATGATAAAAAGATTGTCTAATGATCTTCATGATAGTTGATGGTACACCTCAAGTATTGCTCTAAAATTTGATTCACCTATTTTATTTGTCCATCAATTTGAGGATGAAAAGCCAAAGAGATCTTTATATCCATCTTTAAAATATTAAAAAGTATTTTCTAAAATCTTGATACAAATTAAGTCTCTCTATTTGATATAATATCTTTAGATAATTTGTGATAGCAATAGAT